GAAAACAAATGAACTTTGTTCGAGAAGGCGGTGGAAAGGTATGCCATGCCTTGGCATTCAGAAATGCGCCCTGTCCTGGGTAATTCGATTTGGGAGTTGTTTGTGGGAGAGGGAGATGAAGCAGGGGGCAAACAGCCTGGCCTTGAGGTACTCGCCTCAGTCACGGACACCTCTATTTCTGGGGATTTTGGGGTCAGAGCTTAGGGGAAGGAACAGAGGCACCTGCGCCCAGGGGCAAGTCTTAGCGTGCAGATGAGCCCTGGCAAAGAGGATAGGCAGAGAAGAGGAAGTGCAGACACTGTTCCCTGGCACAGAGGAAGGCACAGAGCTCCAGACCCTCCACCTCTCTAACACCTTTTCTTCCGGCCACACTGTGCCAGGGCTTGGCTCTCTGGAGCACCTGCTGAGACCGCGGCTCCCGTCTAGCGACAGCACCGTCCTCGTCCGCGTCCTTTGGTGCCTACTGGAGTAACGCCTGAGGAATGTTGTGCGCGCGCTAGACGGAGTGCGAGGACAAAGCGGGCGTGAGCTCGGGCTAGGGACAGCAAGGCTTTCATTCTGGGAAGATCTCCCTTGGCCTGGGTCTGCCCCAGTTGAGAGGGTTTCCTAGAGGGCAGCTGGGCTCTGGCATTGGGAGGAAGAGACCGGCCAAAACGTGGCTTAAAGTGGGTAATGAGCCCCATTCAAGCCAGGCAGAAGAGGAATATGGGGCCAGGGGACTGTGAGGGTCAACGCTGTGCATGGGACTGAGGCCAGACCTCCCTCCCACCAAACAAATACAGGTACACACACCCACACACCCACACCCACACCCACACAATCACATACACTCACACACTCACACACCCACACACACACACACACAGGGATAGACTAACAGCACTAGGAAAAGCAACTGACTTTGTCCCAGAGGGAGGTGCAAAGGCACGCCATGCCTTGCCATGGAGAAGCTAGCGCTGACCTTTGAAACTAGATTTTGAGGTTGTTTACAAGGGAAGAATATGAAGCAGGGGGGCAAACAGGCCAGGCACCGAAGGACTCAATTCAGTCAAGGGACAGGCCGATCTCTGAGCATTTGGGGTAGAGGGGTTAGGGGATGGAGTAGAGACACCTGTGACTGGGGGACTCTGGCGGGCGGGCAGATGTACCACAGCAAGGAGGGTTGCCAGACAAGCAGAGCAACAGACACTATGGCCTGGCATAGAGGAGGGCACTGTGCCTGCTCCCAGTTCTACAGATCCTTCACCTCTCTAAAATCTATCCTGTACTGGCCCTGGCCTGGTGGGGCAAATGCAGGTACCAAAGGAGACAGCAAAGTCCTTCCCCAGACTGCTGGGTCCACATCTGCAGCATTCTGGAGAACTCCCTGCTTCCCCCTTTCACTCTGGCTTAGAGGTGAGGCCTTCTTCTTGCTTGGGATCATGTTTATGAACTCCCCTGTGGGCTAGGGACCATCCTCCCCCTGTGGGTGGAGCAGTTGCTCCCACTGCCCTCTAGACCCAGCAGCCCTTCCATCCTGCCCATCCTGCCCCCATTGTGGCTGCTACTGGAGATGACTTGGAGCTTAGTCCAAGGGTGGGGATGTCCACAGCACCATGAACCTCTGGCTGCTGAGGGAGGGAGTGTAAATGGCCTCCAATATTCAGGAGGGTTGCCTGTTCCTCAGAGATGCCCAGAGGGTCAAGGCCAACTAATTTTTTTTTATTATTATTTTGATTTTAATTTGCTAATATTTATTTTAAAACTTTGAGTTTCAAAGTCTCTCCCTTTCTCCCTCCCCATCACCACCCCATCCCTGAGAAGGCAAGCAATTCCCTATTTGGGTTGGAAGGCAACTAGATGTGATCCTGAGATTACAAAGCTCCTGCTTGTTAGAATGGCCAGCACCTGACCCATGAAAGGTAAAGACTGTGTTATATCCACTTGCCACCATTGCCTCTCAGGATTTCATCTCAAATATATCCCTTCATTCTGAAGCTGGAATTCAAGAGTCTCCCCCAAAGATCTTTGTTGGTTTATTTTTCAGATTAGTGGTATGGTAACATGACAAACACATTCTTGACACTGGTAAAAATTACATTTGACCTGTGTGTCAACACAACTTATTTTAACCTTCCTCAGTACTCATTTCTTGATTTGCAAATATGTGTGTATATGTGTGCATGCATGTATACATGTGTGCCACGTACACATATGTGTACATGTGTGTATGTATATGTGCACACATATATGTGTGTGTGTCCGTGTGTGTGTCCGTGTGTGTGTGTGTGTGTGTGTGTGTGTGTGTGTATTTGATGTTTCTCTGATCTCTGACATTCCACCCACTTTGGATGCAAATATCATTGGCTCAGATTCTATCGTTTCTCTATAATAATAATCTGGCTAAATAGGGAAATTCTTAGTTAAATAAACAATTTCTTTACTCTTTGAATTATTATTGATATTGAAATAAGCCAGATAAAGTGTATATACCAAGAAACCTGACCCACACATATAAAACATACACACACATGAATGCAGGGCCAGCATTGATAACCTAAAATTTGGGGGCTGAAAGCTACTACATGTTATCCTATATGTAGTAAGATAGAGCCGAGGCTCTCCAGAATGTCCGGTATCATGACTGTTGAAAGGCAAAAGTCATTCTGTTATATGGTTGTCAGATTGGGCTGAGGGGCAGCTGGGGTCAGCCCAGAACTTGCTGCTGCTGGCCCTTGAAACCTGCAGAAGAGTGGGTCGCCCCTGCTGCCTTCTGGAGGCAGTGACCAGCCCTGTGGTATGAACTGCTGCCTTCCCCCCTGATGGTAAGAGGCAGAAAGGACAGCGATATCTCTGTGGCCATCAGTATTTCATGGCCAGCCCCCCACGTCCAAGCTGAAGCTGCAGTGACTATCACCCTGGGGACCTGGGGAGGCACCCAAGAATGTAGCCCTTAGCTTTTCTATCTGATGTAAAAGAAGCATGAAATAGATCTCTAGATAAATACAAACATCTTTATCTACATAATACAATGGCCAGGAGGCCCAAAAAATGTGCCCTCCCTCTCCCATCCCAGCCTTAACTCCAATAAGCCCCTCCCCCACCCTATCCCAATCAACTTAACACCTGCCCATGTGATAACATGTCCCAAAAGGAACTAGAATCCAAGTGCAGAGCAAGAGTCTGATGAGTCTCCAATGGCCTGTTTCCCCGCAGAGGCACCTGGGCCATGTCACGTCTGCCCCAGGGATACAGGGCAGCATCAGCTCAACACCAGCCCTAGACAGGGCAAGGCAAGGGCCAATATCAACAGGATCCCGGCCAGTCTCCTGCTCAGCATAGCCACAAGCACATTCGCTGATGGTCCCAAAGGAGACAGCGCAAATCCAGGCTGCTGGTCTTGTCAGAATCAAAAGCCAAGACAAGTGTGGTCATTCCCAGTTACTTCCCATTTCAAAGACGGCACCCATCATGGCCGATGGTGAAGAGAATCACGCAAGTTCCCCTGGAGAGTGGCATTAGCCACCTACTGGAGCATGCCCATGTCAGACTGGCTACCAGTGTGCCCTTTGCAGCTGCCCAATTTGTCATTGCCCTAGAGCCAAGTTGGTGTAAGCTGTGTTTCTGTGGGACTGCTGCTGAGCATAGCAAGGTCTTCATTAGTCCCTACCACACCCCCAACACATGATAGAAAACTATTTCTACACCTCTTGGAGGTGGGCAGGGCCTGGCAGGAAGCTGGGCAACCTGACCCTGCAGATGATGGGGATTGAAAGAGAAATCGCTCAGCTGGTGGTCTAGTCCATATCAGAGAGGCCTGGGTGGGACAAGATGGCTCCACGGAGGTGGGCTCCCACCTTCCAGATGTCTCTCTCCCAGATGTCTCAGCGGCCAGAAGGGAATGAGCCTGGGGGAGGGAGGAGGAGGTGGGGGAGCTGCTTGCTGGTGGTGGAAGGAGGAAAGGGTGAAGGGATCCCGGAGGGAGGTGCTAATTGGCAGGCTTGCCATGGACCCGGAAACGGTAAATGCAGGTATAGTCCGGGTGACCCCAGTTACTCAATACTCGAAGCTCTACCAGTTGGTATGGAGCTGTGCCGTTGCCCTGTGGGAAGAGGAGAGTGGAGTCAGGAAGGCCCAAGATCCCTTGGTGGACTCCCACAGCCCTTCTGCCCCAGGCTTCCATCAAAGACCAGTGGCTGAATTCAGCCCCAAGCTTATCCCTCAGCTTCCTATCAGACCCATTGGGACCTGGCTTCCACTGCAGCCACTTGCCAAGCCACCGCGTCCCAGTGGCTGGTGATCCAGCCCTGGAGATCACCAACACGCCTGCATCCCTGCTGTGGGATCAACCCTCCATACCTGAAAGGGGAAGGTCTGAATGGCCTCCCCAGCATTCTCATAGGTGAACTGCCCCAGGGCAACCCCCTCCATCTGGGAATCTTCATTGAGACCCTGCACAGAAGGAAAAACAAGGGGAATAGAGGGATGGACAAATGGATGGCTGGGAGTGGAGTGCACGAAAGGTCATGCTGTTAGGACAAGAATCCAAATCAGTCCATGGAGGGAAAATGGGGGAGGTGGCAGGGGGAGGAGGAGGCAGACAAGGCAGGATATATTGGGGAGGGGAAAGAGGAGCAAACACAATCCAACTTCATGTTGCCTGCCTTGATCCCCTCACCCTCTAGCATCTCTCTCACTAATTCAATAGACAGAGCCTTTCCCCTCCTAGGCCTCGGCCTTCTCAGCCTCTTCCCCAAAGCTGCTGAATGACTTGGGACAAACCCCTTCAAGTATGGGTGCCACACTTTCTTCATGTGTGTCAGGATTTGGGTCCTGAAGCATCCCTCTCCCCTTGCATATTTCACCTTCTCTTCTGGCTCCATCTTTTCTCCCAAATCCTCCTTACAATGGACATTCCATCTCTGCCCTGACCAGGTGACTCTGTAGGGAATGGCAATCCCCATCCCTGCCCAACTCGTCCATGGGACACCTGGCCACTCAGGCAACTGGCTATAGTAAAGGACCCTAAGGCACATTGTAATCTTGGCTGTTCTTGCTTCTGTGGTTGTCTTTTCCTGGCTTCTCTCTAAGTAGAGGAGGAGGAACAGAAGGGCTGGGCCTGGAGTGAGGAGATCAGCCTCAATGTCTCATGTGTCAAATGGGCACAGCCTTGCATTGCTCACCTGGCAATGCTGCTGTTAAGAAACGACTTTGTGCCACTCTGGAAAGGAGAGCTGCCAGGCTCAGGTACTCACCAAGATGACAAAGTCCTTTGGGGCACTGGGGATGTCACTGTTTGGGGACAGGGCTTTGGGCACGTGCTCCAAAGTGATGGCAGTGAGCTGGATCCGAGCAGACAAGCGCACCACGACAAAGCCCCGCGGGCCCCGGAATGCCCAGCAGTTGCCAGGGTAGACATCTGGCTGTGGGCACAAGACAAATCAGCTGAAAGGAGGCAGCAGATGGAACAGATCCCGATCGTGGGGCCCCTCTGCCTTGAGGGCCCAGCTCCCATAGAGGAGGGTGGCAGATGGCACATAGAGAGCAAAGCTGGGGGACCTTTGTTTAGCCCTACCTGGAGGATGACTCTTGGCGACTGGAAATAGCGCCACAATGGGATGCCCAACAGAGTGAAATGGGCAGACCACTCCGTCCTGATGCCGTATGTCTCTGACGAGCCGCTACTGACAATGCTGGCTCCTGAAAGAGCAACATGGAGAGAAGTGTGTGGGGAGGGGGGGTCCTGAGAGTTGGGAGGACACAGAGATGGCTTAAGGCAGCCCTCAAGGTGAGGGGGTGCTGCCTGGGAATCACCCCTCTTAACTGCCACGGCCCATAGGGGGCATCTTGATTTGTCAGTTCCTCCTGTCTCCTAAGGTCCATCCTGATTTGCCAATCCCTTTTGTCCCAAGCCCTCTGGCTTTCTGCAGGCCACCTACCTGAGGACTCCAGGGCATAATCCACAAGCCCGATTCGATCTTCACTGTGTTCTTTCAGGGCCTGCTTTATGATCTGGTTCACTTCCTAAAAGACAGGCATGCACTACTCAGGGGCCAGGTCACCTGCAGGGCTAGCCCAGCCCATGTGGGGGGCGGGCAAGCATGCTACCTGCTCAGCCAGGGTTTTCCCCTCCCTCCTGGCAGGCTCTTCTGAGGGCAAACCAGTGACCCCAGCCAGGAGGACAGCCAGTGGGGCAGGCCTCACCTCCTTCGTCACGCCGGTGGTCATTCCTTCCTTCAGAAGGCTCAGTCTTAAGATGGCAGCAGCTTTGCTCACAGACTTGGGCCACTCTTGGGCCACATGACTCACGATTCTGTGTTCCAGGTCATGAAGCTGGGCCTGCACCTCCTCTTGCTTAATACCAAGGACCCGCTCAATCCAGCCAGGGACCTTAGACTCCACCTAGAAGCCACCAGAGGAAAGAGCTCAGCAAACACCAGAGCAACAGAAGAAATGAGGAAGCAAGAGCTTCCTAGCAAATGCTAATATCTCTTTCATCCCAATGAAATCCAGGAGCTTTTGCACTTG